ACGTCACTCCTGATAACAAATAATCGAATTAAAATTATGCAAGTTTAATATTATTACATTTTATCGGTTGTAAAAATTATGTTATTAAAATGATTATTACCTAGGTACTTGGAAAATTATGTATACACAAACCAAAGGGCGTCGCATTTATTCGTTTACCTTCAGGTTACGTACAGGTTGATAAACTCCCCCGCCATTGGAAGTTTTGTGGCTTATTGTGCACTTCCTATAAATGGAATCGTATTTTTAACTGAGTTACCACCATCTGCTTATGCATTTTGGTAATGCGATTTCATGACTATGAACGATGGGAAAGTACTACGGTCATCGCCTGTCAATTAGCATAATGTTTGCCGTTACATTTTCCATCTTCCATTCTCGATTCCCGGAAAAAGACGGGATAGCGTCTCATGAATTGATTAATTTGCCCTCGTCGACGCTTAGTACACAAATTCGAAAGGGAAGTGAATTAATTTGTAGAATCGTGTGTGCAGTGCGAATGAATGGAGCTAAAAAATCATTTTTTACTAGTATCTGTTATTAGGTATCTAATATTTTGTTCGAGAATGTATCTACAGCGTCCAAAGGATCGAGAGAACAATATATTAAACATAAGTTTTGTGAGAAGGCGAGAACCTACAACTTACTATTTTGAGGCACACAAGGTGTTCCTTAAAAGTGGGCGTGTATGTCGATATGTTTTTTTAAATGAAACGTTATATTTTGTATTTTTGATAAGCCGTACTAATAGAACTGTTTTTGATGCCTTATCAATTTTTCGTAATGCCAATTAACTTGTACAGTCGTCGACTTTATTTCTATCTTTCTGAACAGGTTGTTATTTTTATTTTCAAAAGAGACAGTATGCGGATAAGTTAGTTTTCTTTACAATGTTTATAAAAAGGGCCTTGAATCGAGCCTTGAATCTCGCCAACTTCAAGTAACTAAACATCAAACTTCGGAATTGACCTTATGTTTTTTAAATATTTAAAAGTATTAACTGAAAAGGAGTATTTTTTATATCTATTCATACAAGTACTTCTGTCCGTTACAAAACCTGACTATCCCATCTTGTTGAAACTACTTTCTATGTCATATGGAATGAGAAGACAGTGAACATAATCTTTCAGCAAGCATGGATATTCCGTCGATAAAAATAAGCCCCTAAAATGATTTCCAACGTACCCCCTTGTACAATTTATCAAACTAAGTTTATCTGTATCATGATTATTTATTTATGGGTTGGTATAATCCAGTCTGTACGTATTGCGTTTGCGTTAATTTCTCTAATTTCTTAATATAAATAAATGGAATAAGAAATTAAAAGTAGATGACTAAACTTGGTACCTACTCTAATATTAGTCCTTTAAAAATTGAAAAACAAATTAGAAGGAAAGAAAAACAGGAAAATTAGTGTTTTAAACAATAGTGAGCGCGTTTCTATAATTAGTGATTAAAAACAACGAACAATTGAAAATATACCGGTTTAAATCTTTAGTCAAATTATGATTTAAATCGGCGCAATTCCGATGATTAAATTCCGTTTTGGGCGCTTCGCTTCCACAATATTTTGTTGGTCTATGAAGGGGGAGAAAATTCTTTCCGTGCAGCATAAAATAAAATAAAACTTTGGATGTTCCAGACAGTGAATTTATGTAAATAATGTTTGAATTAAAACTTCCATTTTAAAGTCTAGGCTTGCCGGATTAGATAATTGACCATTGTTTTTATCAGCAAATCAAATCAGTTAAGTGTTTTTCTTGATTTCCTGTATTGGCATTGAGATTATATCACTTTTGCTACATCGAGCTTTGCGAAAAATGTTATTGAGTGGAATTTTTTTGTTTTATCTATATCGCAATCCGAAACCCATTTATTAATGGGGTACGTAAGTTCGAATTAATTGGATTTGATCCACTGTCACTCCATTCTTCGAAACCAGATGACCAAGGTGTTTCACTTCTTTTTGGAAAAGTTGCACTTCCTTGTATTAAGTTGGGGTTAGCACCGCCACAGATTATGGCACGGCGAGATTCTTAAGGTGTTCTCCGAACGTTCGAGCAATCACAATTACGTCGTCCAAATACACAAGGTCTGTTTTCCAGGGCAAACATCTCAAGACCAATTCCATTATCTCTCAAACGTGGCTGGGGCGTTACACAAACCAAAAGGCATGACCCGACCCTATGCTAAAGACTGTCTTCTCGCGATGTTCAGACCAACTTGCCAGTAGCCGCTTTCCATATCTGGAATGAAAAATCATTTAGCACCCGTTACCGTATCTAGCGTGTCATCTATTCGGGGCAACGGATAAGTATATTTCTTTGTTATGTCACATCTACCTTCGTTCTTTATCGCCGATGACTAATCTTTCATGGCGCTCGATGCCTATGGAAATTTCTGGAATCTCCGTTACAATACTGTAAATCATTTTCAGAATGTTTCAAAGGTTAAAACAAGTCGGTACGTCTAACATGTAGAAATACATGTAATTTACAGATTGAAACTTGGCTGTCTAAGTGTCCAAAGCGTTTCCTTTCTCTTTAGGAACTAAGGACCCAAATTTAGGTTACTCCTTAATTTTTGTCTCGACAAATAGAAGAAATATACGAATAGAACTGAAAGACTGACCTAGGTTTCTAATATTACGACCTTTACTAATTAAAAATGTCTAAAATTGTAACCCATAGATGTCACCCCTAAACGTAGATATGGAGTTTTCCAATATTCGCACTGCAGTTATTGTCATAATTCTCCAAATACTTCATTTCTTCCACATGAGAACATTTTTATACCCCCATTTTACGCTTCATTTTCAATCAATTTTTCTCCCAAAAATCCGTCCCGTTATTCATTGTTTCCGTATGCTTAATATACTTATTCAAAATTTGGACAAGTTCGGCCGACCCGTTCTCTCGAAAAATCGACGTACATATGTACACGGTGGTCCAAATAGGACACTTTCTTATGGAAGCACCCTTTATTTTAAGAGATAGAAAAAAAAAGACTTAGGTCTTTGGTATCTGGAGTTCAATTTTAAAAAGAAAATCTCTGGCGCAAACAGAATTCAGCTATCACTAATCGTTTGGCCGCTAAGGGGCGTTTCTCGAATTTAGTCGATTTCTTTATTGTTGTTAAAGATGATTGATTTTGGGAATATCTTACTTAGAGCACTTTGTATGTAGAATCCATCGCGATAGCAATACACAGTTTTATAGACGGTCATTGGTTTTTTTGTAGGACTTTAAAGAAGTTCAAGCTAGGAAGCCAAAAACGAGTAGCATGTTTAGCGTAGCTCATGGAAGGAAGCGCAAGCATGTGCGTCGGCCTGTTATGCACGTTATAATTCAGTACCTAGTAGCGTGGGGTTACCAAAATCCAATTGTACGCATAGTTAAAATTAGTTTCACCAAATTTACTGATGCACTGGAAGCACTCATTATTCTTTCTACTTGGCCCACGGTTTCCTAAGGTTTTTCGTTTAAATCTTCATATTTGATTGTACATTTTCTTCCTTTTTGTTTTTGTTATTTTGTACTTTTTAAGTTTTTTGTTCTTTGGTTGTTAATTGAAAGCTTCTGATGTGTATTGTACAGATTTAACTCATGATTGGTAGTTTAAATATAAATCGATCTCATTTAGGTTTACGTAATCCGAACGTCGTTTTCAGCAGAAAAGTGTTTCATATACACTTGCTAACGGAATTGGTAAATGTAAAATGGCTGGTAAGAATTTCATCGTCAAGAAATTTGTGTATTTGTAGGTGGTCAAGTTACGTTTACCCACGTGTTCTTTATTTCCCACCTCCAGGATTATCTCGACGACTATTGATTGAAAAGCATTTAACTAAAACGTTTATAGGGTTTCCTTTAAAAACCAAGCTTGGATATTATCTAATCCACCTTTCCCTCCTCACATTTAAGTGGCTCTATTAATGCATTCGAAAACCGACCGTTAAATTACTTCCGAACGCAATTTTTTTTATTACTCTTGTCGCATTAAGAATTAGGATTCACAAAACTTGATTTGAATGGGAATAACGTTCGGAATTTATTCGCCTCAATTCCTTACGAGGAAGTAGGCTTTATGGTGACGGTTGCGAGAAATGTACATGGCACGCATATTTCCATTATTTTGCCAAAAAAAACTTTTTCGTTTTCCTTCCATTGGAAATATTCGTTGTTGACAAGATTGCCAAAAAAGGAGGAAATGTCTACTGAAGTATTTGTATTACATTACATTATAGTTTGCAATACTAATGTTATGATTATTCCTTTACTTAGTCTATTTTATAAGTTAATAACGCAGTAAATAATTGCATTAATTGTTTGTATTAATTTATCAAAGTTTATTATGATACAACACTATCTCTTCATAATGTAAGTTAGGATATTGTGTATCATTTTCTTCGCCATTGTCAAAGCTGCAAATCAAAGTACGACTAAGAAAGTTGCTGTTGAATTTTCATCGGAGCAAAATCAATTTCAATCGCATTACTCAAAATCAGGTGGGTTTCCACCTACGCTCCAATTACATACGACCTTATAATGCACATTGATCTCAGGTTATTGGACAAAAGTAATGTCTCTACATACGCGTACCCTTTGAAATTAATCACATTTTGAATTTTTTAATGGCGCCCGTTTAAACGTAACAATGTACCGTTAATAACGAAACAACTTAATATTTGAAGTGAAATTATGGTTTTTGACCTCATTTATCTTTAATTAATAGTCGCGCACATTTCATGTTAACGTTATTTTTCATAAATAAATAATTAACTGTAAGTAATTATTATAGTTACCTTATGATGTGGAACGAAAAACAAAATTTAATATACTTAGATAGACGATTGATACATTTCTCAAAACAAGAAAAATTAAAAAGATAAAAAAAATTGCATGCACCAATATACCAAGAACGAAAATAATTGTAAAAATGATACATATTTATGATAGAAAAAGATTTTTACTAATAATGTTTGTTTGATCCTGTTACGACATAAAACTAATCCAGTTTTCTTTGTTTCAGATACTATGGTCAAGAAAAAGAGTACAATGTCCTTGTTATGGATCTTTTGGGTCCCTCCCTCGAAGACTTATTCAATTTTTGTTCACGTCGTTTCACAATCAAAACAGTCCTCATGCTTGCAGATCAAATGATAGGTCGTATAGAATATGTTCACTGTAAATCGTTTATTCACCGTGATATAAAACCCGATAATTTTTTAATGGGAATTGGTAGACATTGCAACAAATTGTTCCTCATCGACTTCGGTTTGGCGAAGAAATATAGAGATGCACGGACTAGGTGTCACATCGCATATCGCGAAGATAAAAATCTTACCGGAACGGCGAGATACGCGTCCATCAATGCACATCTTGGCATCGAACAGTCGCGCAGAGACGATATGGAAAGTCTCGGTTATGTATTAATGTATTTCAATAGAGGCTGTTTACCATGGCAAGGTTTAAAAGCAGCCACAAAGAAACAGAAGTACGAAAAAATCAGCGAAAAGAAAATGTCCACACCCGTCGAAGTATTGTGCAAGGTAAACTTGGGAAACTCGCTAAACTTGCGGCTAATTACTTAGATTTTAGGGTTTCCCCGCCGAATTTTCTATGTATCTAAATTATTGTCGCGGTCTTCGATTCGAAGAGGCACCAGATTACATGTATTTAAGACAATTATTTCGTATACTGTTCCGTACTTTAAATCATCAGTATGACTACACTTTTGACTGGACGATGTTAAAACAGAAAGGTGCCAGCATGACTGGCGCTGTCGGAACATCTGCGCAACCTCAAACCTCACAAGCTATCACTCAACAACAACCTGGTAAGTATCGTGTCAGTGCACAACTTACTACCCCTCCACATTTCCAGCAAACAGAGATAAAGGTAATGAAAAAAAAATTACTCCCACTAAAGGTACACCCAAACAGTATGGTTCAATTTCCGAAAATAGACCTGTGAAAGGCTTTTGATTTAGTATTTATTTTTGAATTTTGTTTTGTTAATTTAGTACTGTTATAAATGTTATAAAATCACTGTGCCACCCATGCCTTAATCATTGTGAGTTGCGTTTGGTATTATTAACAATTTGTTGGTCAAATAAGCTCAGCTTATGCGAAAGAGACTTTACTAGTTGTAGGTCTGGAGTGTTTTGAATTTTTCTTTGCTTGCATTGTACTGCCACTTTCTAGTCGGTCGTTTCATCCAGCTATTACTAAGTTCTTAAGCAAAGTATGGACTTTGGATCTTTGCCTTGTGACAGGCTCTGTAAGCCTTGCTCCGCATCTTCACTTTCTAGCTTCTTACCACATCCATTTTACAGTTTTATCAATGAATTGGAGGATATTGCTCATGTTTGTGTATCATTGTGCTTATTCTTATTCTTAAGAAAGGCTTGTTTCACAGGCTTACTTGTAATTGAGTAGAGTATGTAGTTTTCTTCTTTGAAGGGGAGGAGATGGTGGTAGATGTAGTTTGATTAAGTCCCAGTTGCACCAACAAAATTAAGCCCAGCTTAAAGTTAAGTCGAACTTAAAATCTATGGCAACAATTACTTTTATTAACGCATTTTGGTATCGGGATCGCTCAAGTTCAGGGTAACGCAAAAATAGTACACGAATTTCAAACTGGCCGTCAGGATATAAAATTCTCACTAACAACTGGTACAGTACAATAAGATCACTGAACTACCGCTCACTGACAAATTTTGAATGACGTTGAAACGGTAATTCCACAAACTTGCCTCACTGTCTCCAAAACCGTTATAAAGAAGAACAAGAAAGTGTGGCAAAATTACAGAAAATGCGATTTTTAAAATTTTTTTAAAAAGTGCATGCATATCATAATAACTGTCATTAGCTCAATGATAAATTGGAAAAAAAAATCATGGCAGATATGGAGCATATGGATTGGGCGCACTGTCTGTCTTTATACAATAGGTAACTGTAGAGTGTACACATTAAGAGTATCGTCTCTGGATAGTTTAGTTGAATCTTCAGATTGTTTAGTAAAGGATATTTGCAATAGTAAAGATTGGATTCTAAAGAGCTCCACAATGAATATGTAAATTGGTTGGACACTTACAGCAGTTTCTTTACAGTTTTTGTACAGTGAAGTATTTTTCTTATGATACTGTGTTCTGTTTGTGTTGGAGTAATTTGAGCTGTATCACAATTCCAATTGTTTCGTTGTCATGTCAAGAATTATATCTGAAATTTATTTTCATGTTTTTTAAAAGTTTGGATTTGTCTCGGGATTTGTTTTTTTTTAATGTTGACAATTCAACTCATGTATAAAAAATCGCATAAGCCGCAGTGCAGTTGTCACTTTGACAGCGGCAAAAGTTACCTGGGGGTCGATTTTTGGCCGTACGTTTCCTTAAAACTTATTCGTAAAGAAACGTATATTTGCAATTTTTGACCATACGTTTATATTGCGTATACGTTCAATTGTGTTCGTTTTTCTGCGAGCGGGTAAATGGCGTTCGCAAACGCTCGCAACTGACGTTTTGTGGGTTATGTATTGGTTAGTGTTGAAGTTTGACTCTTGAGAGGTATCTACTTACAATAATGGATGAAGCTGTGAATGTGTTTGTAATAGACAATTTAGAGAATGCCGAACGCAATTATCGCCCGAATAGGAACCGTAATCCTTGCAACCCCATATAGTGCAGTAAAATCGAGCGCGTATCTCGCTTAGTTTAGGAGAAAAATTTTACCGAAGTATAACTAGATGAGATGTATATCATCTTTTAGTGAATTTTAAGCCCTATCCGAATTAAATAGTTACAACTTTTTTTAATAGGGCACATTTTTGTAAATTAGCAAAATGTAACGTTTTGGAGGCGAGTCAATATTCACGTTTTCATTGATTTAACTCCCTTTATAAGTTTTATTAATTGAGCTATAGCTTTCAAATTTTCAAAGTTTATAGAAGAAAGTACAGCGCACATGATAGCAATTCAATTTTTTCTGTATCGCTAACAGCTTTTGTTTAAATAATTGATAAACCACGGCATCGACAAATTGGGTATTGAAATTTTCGACATGCGAGCAACTTGTTTAAATAATAAAAGTACGTAGCTATATATATCGTACCAAATAACGTTAAAACATTGAAAAAGTTTTTAGAAAAAAATTAAGTCAATACCTTTTATGGTTTTCGAAATGTGATAGATTAAAGGTTGACGCGGTGCGGTGTTGGCGCGCTTATTTAATGCTTCTACACAGATGCAGCGAGGTAGTCATGGCGTACTCGTATTATAATTTGAAATTTTGCATTTGATAATATTACTTACATATTTTAATTAACAAAATTTTATTTTTATTTATATTTCTAAATTTTCTTCGTCATCAATTTGTTGTTCACTTTTTTGCATCAACTGATTGTTACAATTGCTGCTACTACATTTACAGTCCAAACAGCATTTGACTCCTTCTTTTAAACAAACACATTTATTGTTGTCGCACTTTCTATCGGCACAAAAAATTGTAAGTAGACCCCTAACGTTGTCTGGAATTGGGGGTTTTTCTGTATGGACTGTTTCCCAAGTGCCATTTTGATTTGTCCATCCATATTCAGTAGGATCCATTTCCGGTATATGGCATAAATGACTATTCGTCCAAATCTTCAATTGATATATACACCTAAACAAAATTAATAATGTCAGGAAAAATCTCGAGAAAAATAAATATGAAAAAGTGTTCACCTACCTCAGTACGTGCATCTTAAATTCATCATCTGTAGGAGGTAGTTTGAGAGGCACACTTATTTGAAGACATTGTCTGTTTATATCTTAGATCATTCAATGATTTAATTTTTAAATCTTTATTTCGGAAAAGATGTAAAGCACATTTCGTTGCAATGTCAATAGCTTCTGGTACTGTTACATTTGAAATTTTTTGAAGTTCCTTAAAAGATTCATAACCTTTGTTTGCAGTGTCAAATGCCATTCTCTTGCCAATTCTAAAAAATGCGCTTGTTGTATTACAGCCTGTTAATGCGTGAAGCGACAATAACGTTTTTTATAGATCTTCTCCAATATTATTAACAATATCCGTAATAGAAATTAATCTTTTTTTGTTTATGTGTCCTAATTCTATGAATAAACGTTTGTTTACGCTGTTATCAATTTGTACGTAGAAGTATATCAACAGAAGGAATACGTCTGTATCCACTGATCTGATTAAAACATTCTCGTTTTTACAAATGTTAAAATCGTGTAAGATATGGAGTATTATTCTAGTATCGGCTTCGGGATGATTGGAACGTTTATTCATAGAATTAGGACACATAAAACAAAAAAAGATGAATTTCTATTACGGATATTGTTAATAATATTGGAGAAGATCTATCAAAAACGTTATTGTCGCTTCACGCATTAACAGGCTGTAATACAACAAGCGCATTTTTTAGAATTGGCAAGAGAATGGCATTTGACACTGCAAACAAAGGTTATGAATCTTTTAAGGAACTTCAAAAAATTTCAAATGTAACAGTACCAGAAGCTATTGACATTGCAACGAAATGTGCTTAACATCTTTTCCGAAATAAAAGATTTAAAAATTAAATCATTGAATGATCTAAGATATAAACAGACAATGTCTTCAAATAAGTGTGCCTCTCAACTATCTCCTACAGATGATGCATTTAAGATGCACGTACTGAGGTAGGTGAACACTTTTTCATATTTATTTTTCTCGAGATTTTTCCTGACATTATTAATTTTGTTTAGGTGTATATATCAATTGAAGATTTGGACGAATAGTCATTTATGCCATATACCGGAAATGGATCCTACTGAATATGGATGGACAAATCAAAATGGCACTTGGGAACCAGTCCATACAGAAAAACCCCCAATTCCAGACAACGTTAGGGGTCTACTTACAATTTTTTGTGCCGATAGAAAGTGCGACAACAATAAATGTGTTTGTTTAAAAGAAGGAGTCAAATGCTGTTTGGACTGTAAATGTAATAGCAGCAATTGTAACAATCAGTTGATGCAAAAAAGTGAACAACAAATTGATGACGAAGAAAATTTAGAAATATAAATAAAAATAAAATTTTGTTAATTAAAATATGTAAGTAATATCACAGATAAAATACTGTGTATCTGTGGTAATATTATCAAATGCAAAATTTCAAATTATAATACGAGTACGCCATGACTACCTCGCTGCATCTGTGTAGAAGCATTAAATAAGCGCGCCAACACCGCACCGCGTCAACCTTTAATCTATCACATTTCGAAAACCATAAAAGGTATTCACCTAATTCTTTTTCTAAAAACTTTTCCAATGTTTCAACGTCATTTGGTACGATATATATAGCTACGTACTTTTATTATTTAAACAAGTTGCTCGCATGTCGAAATTTTCAATACACAGTTTGTCGGTGCCGTGGTGTATCAATTATTTAAACAAAAACTGTTAGCGATACGGAAAAAATTGAATTGCTATCATGTGCGCTGTACTTTCTTCTATAAACTTTGAAAATTTGAAAGCTATAGCTCAATTAATAAAATTTATAAAGGGAGTTAAATCAATGAAAACGTGAATATTGACTCGCCTCCAAAACGTTACATTTTGCTAATTTACAAAAATGTGCCCTATTAAAAAAAGTTGTAATTATTTAATTGGAATAGGGCTTAAAATTCCCTAAAAGATGATATATATCTCATTTAGTTATACTGAGATATTTTTTTTTGTCGCATTTCAGAGGTTATTTTACTGTACTACATAGTAGTCTTAAATGAAGCACAATTTATCAAAATGTATCGGCTACTTCTTTCCATGAGTCTTGCATTTTCTTGCACGTCAAAGTCGTAGTTTGTTTCCCCGCTATTATATCGGGGTGGTTTTTAGCAAACTCTACTAGCCACCCTTTTTGGTTTTGCGTGGTATTGCACCCTCGCTTTGGCGTGTCCATCGTGTTTTCAGTATTCATGCTAATCAGTGCCTAAAATATTCTTTAATTTGAAATGACTGAGCAATATCTTCACCTCACCACCTAAGCTCAAACCCAAACGTCAAATAGTCCGTTTTAGTTCTAATCAATCAATAAAGGCGACGTTGTCATATGCACTGTACGTTTCGGTTCCAGGCAGTTACGAACAGTAGTCAAAAATTGAATTTGGAAAACGTATACGTTTTTAAGTCTTCACATCTAAGCGTATACGAATAGATGCGACTGGTTTCAAAAATCGACCCCCTGCATCTTTTTCAGCGACAAATGCACTAGTGGTTTTTTCACTTATTCATTTTCGAACCAATTATCGCATTATCCTTTCCCATATGACTAGTTTGACGTCTGTCAATAATTGATTAGTTGGTGAATTTCTTGTTCGTTAAATTGTCCTGCCGAATTACACTCGAGGGTTTGTATTTAAACCGAGTAAATTTGGGTTGTGGCAATTCAAATCTGTTTCCTTTTAGCAATTGGACTCGAAAAACTGTCAACCTAAAAATGCGGTGTCACATTTTTATTAGTTGACAGTTTTTCTCGTCTAATTGCTAGGCAACAGATTTTCATTACCTAAACAACCCAAATTTACTCGGTAAAATACAAACCTCTTGTGCAATTATAAGTGAAAAATCCACATGTCAAATTTCATCGAAAATTTTGGGATTTTTCAGGAGGAACTTAACTATTTTTGTTGGATGAACAGATAATAGTTCCTCCTTCTTTTGAAAAATAGTGGAAATATTTATCTTCTTACTAAATTCATTGTATTATAAGAAAATGGAATTTTTTACACCATGGTGTCACTTTTTATGTCTGTAAATAGATGCGTCAGTTGTACGTTCAATATGTTGACATTTCTAAAATATACAATACCACATTCTTGATTCATACTTATGCTCTTTCCCATATTACCCTCCTTTTCAGTACCCTTCTGGTTTCTATCCTGTGTTGCTGCATTGTAGTCCCCTGTAAGTTACACTAGTAGTTTAACGAACATTGAAAAGACTCAGCAAAAGAAGAAACATAAATTCAAAAATTTAGATCACTGGACCACTTGTAGCACTTCAAGTACAACAAAATATTGTAACCTACTTTACGTAATTATAAAATATTTAATGAATGTCTTTATCATTTGTTTTTGTTGTTGATTTGTGGCAATGACTTTTTCACATTTGTGAATGTCGGAATGCAATAATGCCACCCTGTAGTACAGTGCAACCCTCTTTAACCCGGACAGGTGTGTTCAATTAGTGAATTATCCGGATTACTGGATAGTAGGCTAAAAGTGTGCGAATGTACTGTATATGTAATGTGTTAACAACTTGGTCACGTCATACAGGGTAGTTCATGTAGCGTGTGGGAGACAAGTTTGTCTTGCTACGGCGAACGTTCGGCATGTTTTTCTTAGACTTTTTGTCAGTATAACAAAAAGAATTTGGTTGACTCTTGATCTTATTAATTGACACCTAAATATCGTGACCTTGGAGCTTTGATTTGTCTCATTTTGCGCTTTCTTATGTTGTATTTACCTGATTCACAATGCAATCTTTTGTATTTTTGCAATTTCTGCTGCTTTGCCCTCTCTGTCGGTGGAAGACCAAGGATACACTTTGATGTGCCAGTTCTTTTTTCTTGAAACGGTTAATCATAAAACAGTATGTGATCTGTTATTAAAGGCTAAATCTAAATTTAGCCTTTTAATTCGCTGTATGTAATAATCTGTTATCATTCTCTTGTTGCTGTAATCCTGTTTCAGTTAAATAAATTTAAAGATGTTGCTTAAATTTTAAATTTTGAAATTGAGAACTTTCATCCGATTTGTTGCATTTCTTTTTACATAAATCCAATCGACATGTGCCAAATGCAGCGGAAGCTAACTAGGTTGCCTAGTTTACATCTATTTCTTATCTTTCATGTTCAGACGTGAAAGCTTTTGACCAATTGAATCTTGTGCGCGCCGTAGGCGAGTGTGCGCACTAACCAGATGGAGATATAGTGACCAATTAACAACCTAGCTGCAAGCAAACCAAATTAGTTGATTCGCTTTTCACGCACCACGCATGTGTCACAACGGCCTGGTCAAATTTTTTACTCGGTAACCATAGTAACATTCAGTGTCAATACTTCAAAATTCCCAACATTGTCCAATGTCTCAGTTCTTACTTCTCAAGAGTGAAAATAAATGAAGAGGTCCGCGAATTTTAGAACAATATTATTGGCACAGCCTAAAACGGTAGTAAAAAAATACGTACCGCCTCCTTACATTCCAGGCCAAGTTGATAGCGGCGTTAGGCGTGGTGTTTTACTAGGAAAACCAAAAGAAAACGATCGAATTAATTACTTGGCCTTGCCTCGGATGTAGTGTTGCAGCAACGGAATGAAACTAAATCTTCTGCTGATGCAAATGCCCGTGGATTAATGTATATTATGTAAAATTGTACAGTACACGCTACTAACGCCTCCAATAGACGCTTAAAGCAATGATGGTTTTTTTTCTTTTCAGGTCAAGCAGTTGTTACAAAAATGCTATGAGAGGGCAACCCCTGACAAGCCATCTGTTAGTTTTCATCTGCGTTAGCAAAATTAATGTTAAATATATTACGCTAGAATAATGAATTGTACACATCGTATTATTATTAAACGTATTTTTACTATTTATATTAGACATAACAAACATATAACTAATATTAAACTAACAGGGATGAAAAGTAACAGACGGTGGTGTTGCATGACAGATTTTTAACATTAGACGTCGCGCGTACCGTAATATTAACAAATTTTTTATTTTTAGGCAATCGCTAACCATTTCTACAAATCCAAATTGAAACATAACATCACCAAATGGATTAAAAATAAAACCAACAGAGTTGCGTAACGGTCGGTTAGATTGTCTTATGACACGTTTTTTAAATTCACAAATATTGTATAACAAATGAGTTATTCTTATTTCATTCGTCCGTTCCAACGGATTGTAAAAAATACAAAAACTTAAAAAATATATAGGGGTGTGCACTAATTTTGTTCGCAAAGTGCTTAGGCTCCGTGTATGTATGTTTGTATGATTTAGTGTGCAAATTGCAAGTTGTGTCTGCAAGTCTGGCTGTTCTATATTTAATAAGAACTGTAGAATAAGAATTATATAAGATTTTCATTCGGATCAAATAATCGAGTACTTTAACGTCAATTTAGTTTGTTTAGTACATAATTGTTATAAAAATTTTAACGTTCTCGTCTCCTTCAATTAATACAGAACCAAAGGAGCATTTGAGACGCTACGTTGTAAAATGTTATGTGATTATCAGACCTAGAATATTAAAATTTTTATTTTATAATGTAGCGTACAATTCTAAACTATTAGTGAGGTTACTGTATTTGCTTATTTCACTCGAACTGAACATGTAAAGTGATTGATACTGCTCGACACGTGGTTTATTATTAGTTATTTTAAATTATAATTTCGCCTAGGATTTTTTTTATTTCAACCACTTTGTGTCGCAGTAGTGTGCAATTATTTACAGGTATCACCTTCATTCAAAGGTGCTCTGTCCAATTCGAAAGTTCAGTCCAATTTAATTGTATAGAACACCTTTTATTCACAATATTAACGCAAAACCATAAGTAGTATAATAAATCATCGTTGAGGAATTAATTTTACGTATTCTCTCTCTGCGTTCATCCGTTTAATTAAATCATACAATTTTTATAGTACACATGTATTTGTAAAATCGATATACAAATGTAAATTACTCTTCCCTTAGCTGCAAACTTAAAATAAGGTACTGCCATGGGTATATATTTGAGAAAATAAAACAACTCATTATGGACTTTTAATGTCAAACTCGATGTCTGATTAATATAAACATTGTCGGCCAACATGTAAAGATTTAGTTTGTGGGTATATTTCGTTTATACGATACGTTTAGTAACATTATTACAATAGTTTGAGGCTTAAGCCTGTTGTATCTAAGTTTGATAACAGTGTTCGACATTTGTAATGGAACTGTTATAACAGAAATAAAATTTAAAATATTTATTCATTGTTTCTTTTATTGTGACATTCTCCTATTTTACCATTTGACAGTATGTTAGATTATAGATAGTTTGTGCCATTATTTTAAGCAAAACGTGGGGGAGAGTGTTGTACCTCTGGCCAATGTCCATAACATTGTTGTCTGTAATGTAATAGTAAAGGCCAATTCATACTATAGCTCTGCTCAAAATATTGTAACATGCTATTTCAATAGGAGTATTCACATTTGATGGTCAGGTCACGGTCAGAACATATTCATAGAAATATACGCTACAATAATTGACTGGACCGATAATGTGAATTGGTCTTAAGCATTTCTATATCAAACTTTCGCTGCCGGTTACTAGAGGTCGTTACATTAGTTATACGTCATTAGGGTATTTGCGTTCCATTTTTATGTAAATACCTCAATCATGGCGAATTTACAGTTCCTCCAAAATATCAAAATTTCTGTGTAGTATTAATCTATTATAATTACACTTATGACACATGACATGACGACAATACCTAGTTTGAAATAGATGGATCTATGAAGATTCTAGGGATTCTTAATGTTCAAGGTTATGGGGTTCTAAAGATTGTAATAGTACATTATATATCAAGGTAGAGAAGTCCACTATTATTGCCTGAGCACCAAGATTACATCTCGAGGCGCTTTCTATAAGGATTCTACACTTCTACTTCTCTGTATGACATAACATGACAGTTATATGGCATATATCTGTCGTTCAAGATCAAATCGTTTGTTAACGACAATATACTGAATAATAAAAAATTATTAACCACTTTGAACAAATGCCGAGAAAGCCTACTTTACAAGTGGAAAAAAGGTTAATAATCATGTCATCAGACGCTAGTAGTGAAAAAAAGTTGTTAAGTTTCTATAAGGATTCTACACTTCTACTTCTCTGTATGACATAACATGACAGTTATATGGCATATATCTGTCGTTCAAGATCAAATCGTTTGTTAACGACAATATACTGAATAGACCCCTAAGGACAGTGACAGGATGAACAGATTTTCCTATATGGGGGTACATACCTATGCCTTTTCTCAATTATGAAAAATGTTGATAAAACCCCTTTCCTAGGATTCTCACTATTTGGGAGAGAGAACAGCGGATTTTTGAACGGAAATATAATGTGAAAATAATAACCAATTCAGATTTAATTTTTAGAGAAAGAGTAAATATTTTTGCTTTTCAGCAATTTTTTTAGTAAAGTATTGCATTGTATTACTAGTTTGGGCCCTCCTTAAATAAGCATTGTTAGTATAGTAAATAGCAGTTAAGAAACTAGAATGTAAGTAGTTGGCAACAGTTGATATTTTTCGTTAAGGGTAATTTAATTAGAATTACTGATTATTTATTGTTCATGTTTTAAACTAAATGTTTTATGAAAGAGAAATTTAATAACACCCGTCTGGGTGGAAAGATCAAACTGTGTTGGTCAGATTATTTTGTAAATTTGTTGGAGAGAAATCTTGTCTTTTATTTTGTAAGCGTAATAATTGTTAAATTTATTAAATTGTACACACCTTGATCTTATCTTAATTGTGATTTTTGAATATTTGTTTTTTTGCTAGTGGTCCAATTTAATTTTATCGTGTTAATGCTTTCCCTACACGCAGTTATTTGTCAGTTTTCAGTCAGTTCAGTCCAGGCGTTTGGGACAACCCAAGGAAGACAGGTTGAGGCAAGAACTGAAGAAACTATATAGGACTTGTTCAAGATTGACTGTTGTTTGATCGAGGAATGAATGCTTGCAAAAGAAGCTGGAGTGTCTGAAAGTACAATATATTCGAGATTATACACAAAGCTTTGGGCTTGGAAAAAATCCCTGCTTGATGGATTTTCCAACCTTTTCCACCAGAGCAGAACTGGGAAAGAAATTTGTCAGGAGCATTTGGACGCTTTGGCGAACGATAATATTTTTCGCGGATTGTGATGTAGGCGATGAAATGTCATGTGTCTAGTCACTCTGGACCGCATGGATATGTGAATTTCAGGGTAAACGAATCTGTCCGATGTCACACGATTTGAGACTGTCAATCTCATAATTAAAAACGTTAATTAATTAATCATCTAGACCTGCCAAAAAAAGCAAACTTCTTATTTGTGGACGTATAGAAGGCAATGAAGAGTTTGAGGGTAAGTAAGTATATATAATAATTTATTAAATTATTATACAGGCTGATCATATTTAATTGTTATTTTTCTTTAGGACGATCGGACCAATATAAGTAGTGTCCATTATCAAGGCCATAGCTACAATGAATTTACATTAGTCGTTATGTTACAAACAACAACTAGGTAAGTATAACGTAAATTCATTGTAGCTATGGCCTGATGATAAACACAATATTGGTCCGAAATCGATTGCCTAAAAAAATAACAAATGTAAATGCATTTTAGCTATAGCACAGCACAGTAAGAGTAATACAAAAAAAAACAGGGCACTAAAAAAGACTAAGTAATAAAAAAAATTATAGCAGCTAGTTTAGACCATACCGCGTATTTCAGTTTGCTACCATGGTGTTGCGTAATCTGATTCACCAATTCAGCAATTCTGGGGTGAAAGTTTAGTCAAGGCACATCGCAAATCATGCTGCGGATCCAATCGGTGCCTGGGGTTTTGACCGCAACTAAGATTGAGAAGCCTTGTTCACATAGATATATGTTGCCGCTTGTCGAGAACGGCAAAGAGCCAGTAAAATCCTCTCGTCTCATCGCTCCGCTCCGCCCCACCTCCAAATTGCACTAGTTCGTCTTATTGCTTATCCTTTTCTAATTTGTTAACTTTTTTTCTATAATTCAATTATCATGAAAACATCAGGTCGCGACCCTAAGAAATCGGCCCACGACCACACTTGGGGTCGCGACCCCAACTTTGGGAACTCCTGAGTTAGAGGAAAAAAGAGGGTTACGAGTAGCATTAGCATATGGGGTGTCGCATTAGTACCGTGAAAAGACCGAATAGAACAGAACCTTGATTTTTTGTTTACAAGCAGAAGCACTGGAAGCCCCTACGGCTGTACCCAGGAAGAGAATTTTTGACCTCTGATCGCGGGAGTCGCTACACCATAAGGTTCATTGCATTCCTCTGTGTACCTTCTGAGCTGATATTAGTTATAAATTCAATGATAGCAACAATAAAGATGATACATATACATGTAAAATTTAAATGTTGTTGAATTATCTTTGCACGCACGTATTTAATTACGACACAAATTGTCGTCTAACAGATCTTTTATTCAAGAGGCAAAGAGTTTAGACCCCCGTTACTTACCAGAGCCCTTGTGAATTGTGATTATGATCTAAAAAAAAGTGAAAAGCCAAAAATGCAGGCAGTAGGCCCACTTTAGTGATTGAATTTAATAATTGAACTCAATTAGACTGCCGGAAGACTCCAGTGTGAGAGAATTTATTTAAACTAAGTATCTACCATTTGAGAATGATTGTTTTATGAGATAGAAAGACCGCACGTATTTTGTCTTAACGCTTTTTGAATAAACCGCGTTTTTAACCTACCCCTACCTACCTAAAGTTTGCCTTCGGCACCTTCCACAGAAAGTGAAAGGTTGCTGCATTAATTAAAGAATCCGAGGGTATATTGTATGAGTCATATAAGTCTTTCTCTTTCTTATTCCTACGTACATTTCGCTTCAACCCGAGGAAAGGAAAGTTCATTCATTCCATTCCATCGAACACCTTCATCATGAGCACATCATACAGAACGGTATACGCTTTTGCAAGGGAAATGCACCCCAAGACAGTGAAACACGATATCCATTATGGCACTGCGGGATTTCGCACGAAGTGAGAATTCATTTATTTACAAATGTTTACTTTGTGTACCCAAATTAGGGTTATGTGCTTAACAGATGTATTAATTAGCGGCAATTAATATTCTAGGGCTTCAAATCTCGGTTACATAATGTACAGAATGGGTCTATTGGCTGTCCTTAGATCTCGTTACAAGCAAGGTATGTGATTCATTAAATTCTCATCTTAATACCTCACTTTGTAGGAGTTATCGGAATTATGATAACCGCTTCGCACAATCCAGAATGTGATAACGGTGTGAAATTAATCGATCCGCATGGAGAAATGATGGAGCAAAGTTGGGAAGAATTAGCCACAAGAGTAGCGAACGTTCAGTAAGTAGTAGTCGATCTGCAATTTTATGTGTAATATATTTTAAAATCACATTCTAGTAGTTGACAACCATAATAATATTAATGGTCATGTTTACTCAGTAGTTATGTTTTCTTAATTAAGATTCTATCTTTAACAAACCTTAATATCGCTATTTATAAACTGTACAGTTTAATGAGCTAGTTTGCAAATAATTAGCTTCAGCTTTTCCGTTTATTATTACTCTAATTTTTTTCCCTGATGGTATGTAGGTAGGCGAAGGAATGTGCAAAGTTATGATCAATACTATGTTTTTGTTACCATGGTTTTACAGACTATGCAAAACTTTCTTGCAATATTTTCTAAAGTACTGTCTTTATAACTTAAATGCATTTCCTAAGTTTCGGAAGAAATGCATTCCTAAGTTTTTAATAAAACCTCAAGAATGCATTCGTGACTCTTCTCATTAATCTTAATTAAAATGTTTTTATTTCAACTTGTGGTGGTTGTGGGAAATAGATTACAAATTGTTCACGTCTAAATTATATTTGTAATCTAATTTAGAACATGTTTATCTGTACCTCTGTGATATAACTTTTAGGTAGGAAAGTTAAAATCGAATTATAAATTTGGCATGAAAATTGCTTTGCTATCAAAGTATAGCGTAAAATAAATTAATAATCAAATTAAATGTACATTGGCACGGGTAATGTTCGAAAATATATTGATTGATGCTAGTAAATATTTACCGAGAGAGATTCGGAATTAGTATTCCAAATATAGCACTTTTTCCAGTCCAACTTTTATCTTATAGTGCATACAGTCTGCTTAAAATGAAGTCTACTTTGTTATCTTTGTTATTACA